CAGGATAATAATCGTGCTCCTATGCCCTCTTCTAATTCCACTCTCACCTCGTCAGATAAGCCCTTCATCCTCCATGTCGACGCCAATGGTACCGACGATGGTGGTGTCGTGATGCAGCAACGAGGCGAGAAGAATACACCTGTCAGCGACTACTGCTACAAGGAACGACGGAACAATTGGCAAGGAGCTACTCTTCCTCATCCTGAAGCTTCAGCACTTCACTCCACCCCTGAAAAGTGCTCGGTCCACCATCAACACGGACCACACCACCCTACACCTCCTGCAGCACGCCCCCTTCTCATCTCAACGTCTTCTACTATGGGCTTGCTAACTGCAGAAATTCAACCTGGAGACACGCTATACCAAGAGTCTGACAACATCTTAGCCCCTGATCTCTCCAGAGTTTATGAAGTAGAAGCGACTCCATCCATTACTCCACCACATAACGACGTACTTCTTCCAGAACCGCAGGCTTCGGGGGAGAGTTGTGACGATAATCTCCTTCAAGAGATTGAGCCTGCTCTTCCCTCCACAATTACGTCGTTGTGGTTATATAAAACGACTATGGACGACATGTCCAACAATGACAACAACACCAGCAAGGCTTGCCAGGGTGAGCAAAACGTATGCAGCCAGCCACCTGTTCGGACCCAAACCACCAAACTACATGTTGATCGCTGCCGGCTCCGCTGATTGGTCGCCGGTCTGGCTGCACCTGCACTCGCCCCCCATACTACTTGATGTCTGGGGTCGCCCCAACCTCGGACTTCAGAATGTTCAGTGCTCTCGTTGTCACCACTCCTCCCAGCTAGACTCTAGCGTGTACTGAGAGAAGTGGTGGCTTTAAGCCAATATTCCAGCACCTCCCATTTTACTTTGTGTTGCACTTCTTGTTATTTTGCCTTAACGTAACTTTTCATTGTGTCATCTAATTATTCTTATTATTTTGATTGATTTTATTATAAGAATTTGTTTGTGCATTTTATTCATGTTTTGATTTAATTAACGTAATTAAAATTTCATTGTTAAAGTTTACTTGTGTTTTGTGTGTCTTCTCCTTACCTTACCACAGACGAAGTTCCAGTTTTTTCTATTTTTTTTTATAACTATGTGACGAGGCCATACCCCTAGCCTTAAACAGCCGAACACCAACGCGTTACCGTCACAATATATATATATATATATATATATATATATATGGAAGGGAGTACCACCTCTAGCTGGAAGAAGGGGGACCCATAGCCTCGGAGGAAACCACGCATAACGCATTAGAGGGAATGTTTAGATCCCCTCCAATACAGTTTCTGTGTGCTTTTCTCCTACCACCCCCTTCCTTTTTTATTTTTTGTGCTTTATTATGCATTAAATGCTTTATTATGCATTAAATATATATATATATATATATATATATATATATATATATATATATATATATATATATATATGACCGAAAAAGTAAGATTAATAATTCTAACACGAATTTTCTCAATCTTTCGTACATTTCTTTTCACTGCTGGTGGTAATTCAAAAATAAATTTTCCAAAATTCATTTTTATTTCTAGTCTGACGCGACACTTGAGCGCGTTTCATAAAACTTATTACATTTTCAAAGACTTTAGTTTACACATACACAACTGAATAGAACTTACACATCTCCGATTTGTTTATATCTACATTTGAGTGAGGTGGATGGGGTGAAGTGGTATTAATAGGGTATTAAATTCATCAACACAAGACAGAACACGAAACAATGGGTATTGAATGGAAGTGATTGTAGAAAGCCTATTGGTCCATATTTCTTGATGCTTCTATATTGGAGCGGAGTCTTGAGGTGGGTAGAATATAGTTGTGCATTAATTGGCTGTTGATTGCTGGTGTTGACTTCTTAATGTGTAGTGCCTCGCAAACTTCAAGCCGTCTGCTATCGCTGTATCTATCGATGATTTCTGTGTTGTTTACTAGGATTTCTCTGGCGATGGTTTGGTTGTGGGAAGAGATTATATGTTCCTTAATGGAGCCCTGTTGCTTATGCATCATTAAACGCCTAGAAAGAGATGTTGTTGTCTTGCCTATATACTGGGTTTTTTGGAGCTTACAGTCCCCAAGAGGGCATTTGAAGGCATAGACGACGTTGGTCTCTTTTAAAGCGTTTTGCTTTGTGTCTGGAGAGTTTCTCATGAGTAGGCTGGCCGTTTTTCTGGTTTTATAGTAAATCGTCAGTTGTATCCTCTGATTTTTGTCTGTAGGGATAACGTTTCTATTAACAATATCTTTCAGGACCCTTTCCTCCGTTTTATGAGCTGTGGAAAAGAAGTTCCTGTAAAATAGTCTAATAGGAGGTATAGGTGTTGTGTTGGTTGTCTCTTCAGAGGTTGCATGGCGTTTCACTTTCCTTCTTATGATGTCTTCGACGAAACCATTAGAGAAGCCGTTGTTGACTAGGACCTGCCTTACCCTACAGAGTTCTTCGCAGAGGCACCCTTCTTGAGCCCGGATGGGCACATGTATAAGCAAGTAGATGGGGTCGCCATGGGTTCTCCCCTAGGCGTCCTGTTTGCAAACTTCTACATGGGTACCATCGAGCAAAAAGTCTTAGTCGACATGAACTTGAAACCGGCCATATACTGCAGGTATGTTGACGACATTTTTACACAGGTACCTGATGTCAGACATCTGCAGGAGCTGAAGGAGGCATTTGAGCAGAGTTCCGTGCTGCGTTTCACTTACGAGATGGAAAAGGATGGGAAGCTGCCCTTTCTAGATGTAACAGTCATGGAAAAGAGCGGAGGTTTCCACACTGCAGTCTACACTAAGGAAACGAACATAGGAATGTGCCTAAATGCCAACAGTGACTGCCCAGACAGGTACAAGAGGAGTGTTGTTAACGCTTATGTCGACCGTGCTCTCAGCCACAGCTCAGAATGGAAGCAAGTCGACGAAGAACTCTGTAGGGTAAGGCAGGTCCTAGTCAACAACGGCTTCTCTAATGGTTTCGTCGAAGACATCATAAGAAGGAAAGTGAAACGCCATGCAACCTCTCAAGAGACAACCAACACAACACCTATACCCCCTATTAGACTATTTTACAGGAACTTCTTTTCCACAGCTCATAAAACGGAGGAAAGGGTCCTGAAAGATATTGTTAATAGAAACGTTATCCCTACAGACAAAAATCAGAGGATACAACTGACGATTTACTATAAAACCAGAAAAACGGCCAGCCTACTCACGAGAAACTCTCCAGATACAAAGCAAAACGCTTTAAAAGAGACCAACGTCGTCTATGCCTTCAAATGCCCTCTTGGGGACAGTAAGCTCCAAAAAACCCAGTATATAAGCAAGACAACAACATCTCTTTCTAGGCGTTTAACGATGCATAAGCAACAGGGCTCCATTAAGGAACATATAATTTCTTCCCACAACCAAACCATCGCCAGAGAAATCCTAGTAAACAACACAGAAATCATCAATAGATACAGCAATAGCAGACGGCTTGACGTTTGCGAGGCACTACACATTAAGAAGTCAACACCAGCAATCAACAGCCAATTAATGCACAACTATATTCTACCCACCTCAAGACTCCGCTCCAATATAGAAGCATCAAGAAATATGGACCAAAAGGCTTTCTACAATCACTTCCATTCAATACCCATTGTTTCGTGTTCTGTCTTGTGTTGATGAATTTAATACCCTATTAATACCACCTCACCCCATCCACCTCACTCAAATGTAGATATAAACAAATCGGAGATGTGTAAGTTCTATTCAGTTGTGTATGTGTAAACTAAAGTCTTTGAAAATGTAATAAGTTTTATGAAACGCGCTCAAGTGTCGCGTCAGACTAGAAATAAAAATGAATTTTGGAAAATTGATTTTTGAATTACCACCAGCAGTGAAAAGAAATGTACGAAAGATTGAGAAAATTCGTGTTAGAATTATTAATCTTACTTTTTCGGTCATATTTAATAATATATATATATATATATATATATATATATATATATATATATATATATATATATATATATATATATATATATATACAAAATATATATATTTATATATATATACAAAATATAATATTTATATATACAAAATCTATAGTTACTCATGACGCCTAACAGAAAACAATAATTGTCAGCACATCCAATAAAAAGCATTTCCAACGTAGAAAACCTTGGAAGAGAGTAGTACTCAGAGAGTAGTATATCACGTGTTGTTATTACATAACTATTGACAGTTTTACCTGACAAGCCGCCCTGAACGGTCTACCACCAATGACTCCCTACTCCTGCCGGTTAGAAGGTAATGCATAATTAAAATCGTTAGCATACTGCAACGATAATACAGCTGACTAACGTTGCGCACACAATAGTTAGCGCGTGAAGGCGGTCGTTAAGTGGTACAGCAGGAAGCACTTAGGTAATTACGGGTTGTTAAGTGTTTTAACAAGAGGCGATGGTTTTCAAATTACTGATGCATTATGATAGTCATTAGTGCTCAGTTGGTGCGTATTTCCCAGCAGGTTGGCGGGGTGTGGGGAGGGTGTTGGTAGGCGGGGTGAGGGGAGGGTGTTGGCTGGCGGGGTGTGGAGGGGTGTTGGCTGGTAGGGAGAGGGGGGGTGTTGGCTGGTAGGGAGAGGGGGGGTGTTGGCTGGTAGGGAGAGGGGGGGTGTTGGCTGGTAGGGAGAGGGGGGGTGTTGGCTGGTAGGGAGAGGGGGGGTGTTGGCTGGTAGGGAGAGGGGGGGTGTTGGCTGGTAGGGAGAGGGGGGGTGTTGGCTGGTAGGGAGAGGGGGGGTGTTGGCAGACGTGGTCAACAAACGGCGTCACTCAACGTGAAAGAAGTTGAGCGTGAGAATAATAAATATATAAAAAGGGGGCAAATGATGCAGTGATTCACGTGTTATTATTTTAAGACGAACTAGTGAACCGTCACTGGGCCATATCCACACCTGTCGCTGGGCCATATCCACACCTGTCGCTGGGCCATACCCACACCTGTCGCTGGGCCATATCCACACCTGTCGCTGGGCCATATCCACACCTGTCGCTGGGCCATATCCACACCTGTCGCTGGGCCATATCCACACCTGTCGCTGGGCCATATCCACACCTGTCGCTGGGCCATATCCACACCTGTCGCTGGGCCATATCCACACCTGTCGCTGGGCCATATCCACAACTGTCACTGGGCCATATCCACACCTGTCGCTGGGCCATATCCACACCTGTCGCTGGGCCATATCCACACCTGTCGCTGGGCCATATCCACACCTGTCGCTGGGCTATATCCACACCTGTCGCTGGGCCATATCCACACCTGTCGCTGGGCCATATCCACAACTGTCACTGGGCCATATCCACACCTGTCGCTGGGCCATATCCACACCTGTCGCTGGGCCATATCCACAACTGTCACTGGGCCATATCCACACCTGTCGCTGGGCCATATCCACACCTGTCACTGGGCCATATCCACAACTGTCACTGGGCCATATCCACAACTGTCACTGGTCCATATCCACAGATATTTACACAAAAATACGCCATCTTCCTACACCTTCGCCCTGCTCTTCTTCCCTTGGCGCTAAAAACAATTGTTAAGCATACCCATGTTAGCTGTAACAGCAAGGAGCTTTTAAGCTGTTGCCTCGGCAGTAACTGGCCAGCCCCGCGGGGAGACGAGGCCGCGGCCGAGAGCAGTGAGAACCCAAGTCCAAAAGTAAATTGAAATTTCACAGAAGGCAGATGGTGTAATGGCCCGTGGAGGTGGTGGTGGTGAGTGTGGAGGGGGAAGGCTTTTAAGGAAGAGTAAGGATGGGGAGGATGATGACGGGTAAGGCTCAGGAGGAAGGGAAGGGTCGGGGAGGAGGCTTTTGAAGACCACGAGGAAAAGGCTGGAAAGGGAAAAAACAGAAAAGAAGGGTTGTGAAGAAGAGGGAAAGGTCGAGGACGGGGGGAGGGGGGTATGGTTGGATAGAAAGAGGAAGTGAAGGGAACTATCAGGACAAGCGTCAAGCCATTACGACTATATAGCACTTGGAAGGGATCAGAATAAAAATTTGGGAAGGGACGGCGGAAAGGAATGGTGTCCAATCACTTTGACGGTCGGGGATTGAACGCCGACCTACATGAAGCCAGACCGTCGTTCTACGTCCAGGCCAAGGTACAGAAATATCGTCCAGTTGAGAGTAAGAGAAGGGGGGACAGAAATATTTAAGTTTCAACTTTTCATGACTGGATATACAACCACAGACCAAGCGAGACGGGCAGCTACACATCTTCACTTGCCTGGAAACTTGTGAACCAGTAACTAGTGCGAACATGGTTATACTCGGGGGAAATGGTTAACGCGGAATCTAAAGGAAATAATTACGTCCTATATACTCCTGGCTTGGGAACCATTCCTATATTCTGCCTTCATATTCCAGCTCATGTTCACCAAACTACACACTAGAAAGTGAAGGGACGACGACGTTTCGGTCCGTCCTGGACCATTCTCAAGTCGATTGTGACTTGAGAATGGATGTAGATGTATAGATGAGATGAGATGAGGAGAGAAGGATGTAGGGGGGTAGAAATAGCCTAAGCTACTCTATCCCTTTGAGATGTATTTCTTTCTTGTCTTAATAAACATACTTGAACTTGATCTCCATTGCAATAGCGACTTTGACCTTGATATTCAGTGCTGATCACGTCCTCGGCGTGACTCTGTGCCCCATTAAATATCTCGTGTTTAAACTTCCTTCCGTGGCCATGTGGAAGGTCAGATAAGGGAGTAAAGGAACTCGTAATCACTTCTACCGATACCTAGGTACCACACTGGTCTTGTTATGGGGGCAGCTTACACAAGTAAGCTGTTCAAGTGGTAAGAGGTAAGCCCCAGAGGCCTTCAAGTCATGAACTCCGCCACTGCAGTTTCGGAACGACGACCGGGATGTAGCTCCTGGGCCGCCTCGCAGAGATACGGTGTACACTGCGAGGCGGTGTACGGTGTACACTACCAACGGTGTACGGTGTACACAGTTGGTCACCCTTGACCCTAACGAGGCAGCTAGCACTGCCTCGTAAGATCATGATCGGTCAACTTGATTGGACATGCTTACCAGAGATCCTGATACATAATATGGCTGCTGAAGCAAATCCAGGTCATCCTCGGGTGTTCTCCCTCTCCTACTGTCGCTATAATATAATCCCCAGCGTCAGGACCATTAACAAGGGCCCCATGACAACCATCCCTCAAGCTATGCTCGTCCAACCTGCGTCCAACCCCAAAGACGTATTGAATTTTAACAAACGGTTTATTCATAATCGGAATTTTCTCAAATATAAGGTATTATAATATATTATAACTTGGTGCATAATTAGGTCTAGATGAGGTTAGGTTAGGTGTTTAGGTTCTATAGACAAATTGTTATTTGTTGTAATTCGCAGGTGCAATTAGAAAAGCAACGTCTGTGGTAGAAAATAATAATACAAAAGAAGTGAAAAAAGTATAGCGGCTACTTAAGGTACAACTGCTACTTAAAGTACAACTGTACCTGAAAGTATACCTAGTACTATCATATATAGTACATTAACAGCTATTAAATGCACTGATAACAAATAATTCTCACACAAAATGTAAATATTCACAGTCCTTTGCAAGCTTTTAATCATTAGTATTAAAATACGCAAAAAATACTTTAATTACAGCGGCAAAGTAATTACATTTGCAATAAGCCAGTCTTGGGAGCGCAACATGGCGGCTGACAAGACTGCAACATTTCTAAATGCAAAACAGTGAACGCTATTAAAATAACTTCCCCCTCCCAGCTCCGCCGCTCGCTGCAATTCGCCCAAACTTGAAGCTTGCGTAGAGAGAGTGTAAGTATCAACACTGGCTGGCAGGCAGTGTCTCCTGTGTGCCTGGTATATACAATGAGGGCGGAGGGGGTGTGGGAGGTTAACCTTGTGTGTGCGGGGCTGTGGGCACACTTGCTTGTCAGGGATATAGGCTAAGGGGGAGAGTGCGTGAGGCTCACTACTTCCAGGGGGAGGCTACAGCAACACTAGGGTACAACACTTAACTACACGTGTAGTTAAGGGATGGTTGTTCCTTTGTCCATTATATATTTCACTATTGCAGCAGGAATTGAGGCAGGGATCCAGGTAAATAGGATACAAATATGCACGGTGTTACAAATTTTAAGTCAATCACTCACTCATGCACAAGCGCATAAACACATGTCAAAACGCATTCATATACGAAGGCACGTACCTGTGTGAGTGCCTTCGTCCTTGCACTCTTTGTATGCATGCAATCACGCATGCATGCATTCACGCACGCGTGCGCGCACACACACACACACCTTCAGAATGTCATAAATAGAGTCCAAATTTGAAACATTACAAAACAAAGCCACATATGCGACAAAACTTGTCCCAGAGCTGAGGGGACTCACCTAAAGTGAAAGGATGAACAAGCTCAAACTCGCCCTGTTGAACTCATCACTAGGACCGCTCGGTACAGCGATGGCCTCGCTTCTTGCAGGCCTACGTTCGATCTCCCACGGTATTGAGCACCGTTCTTTCCCTCCATCCTATCCCAGCTCGTCGTCTTCACATCCCTTCCAAGTGCTATATAGTCCTTCAAAGCTTAGCACTTTCTCACTTTCTGCCTTTCCATGTTGGATGAATGACGGATCAGGGGAAATATGATTGTAACGTACAAGATATAAAGTTCACAGACTGAACAGAGAGGCAGTGTTCAGCGTGAGAAACAGCAGAACCAGAGGGCGTGAGTGGAAGCTGCAGACAGGAGAAAATAATGAGGCAAGTTCAATTAGCAACTTTAAAAGATAAGACACTAAAGTGGAGGAATAAAAGTCATTACATTAGTTGACCGAGCCGCCCGTCCTCGCCAGTTGTCACAACGTCACAAAGGCGATGTGCTATATTACTCCAATCAAACCTAACTAATGGACCCTACGCATAAAAAAAAATGTTTGCGAGCCGCTATGATTTATACCCTGGAAACACAAACTGAAACTGTCTCTATTTTCCGCTTGTTACAACTTGTAATAAAGTTGTTACATCTTGGCTTAACGTGTTTATGATGTATTAGAACGTTGTTACAACTTGCTATATTGGTTGTTATAACTGGTTAGGTGTTAAAATTTGTTCGAACGTTGTATCAACGTCTTAGTTTCGGTGTGTGTTTGGCGGGTAGTACACCATATTTTATCCGTTGGGGATTTTGACTTCACACTGCGATGTATTATTCGAGGGACCTGGCACTTTGTAAGTTCGGGAAACCTCCAAATGTTCGCTGAAAGTCGTCGTTCTTCTACTGATAAGGGGCCAGATTCACGAAGCAGTTACGCAAGCACTTACGAACCTATACCTACCTCTTTTCTGATTCTTTGGCGGCGTTGTTTACAATTATTGAAGTTAATGAGCTCCGAAGCACTAGGAGGCTGTTTATAACTGTTTAGGCTGGAGGCTGTTTAGGCCACAACAGTTGATTGGGAAGTTTCCATGCTTTTAAACTGTTTAATAAATGTAACCAAAGCCGTCAAAGATTGAGGAAAAATGTACACGTTCGTAAGTACTTGCGTAACTGCTTAGTGAATCTGGCCCAAGGTTAATCCATGCCTATGACGTCAGAGTCCCCACAAGGCCAGCTGATGTAGAGAAGCATCAAGTTTAAACACTGCTGAAGAACACAATCCTCACGTTTGAGATTTGATGGGAGTAACCAAAACGGTTACTCCCATCACGATCCTCCTCTACACACTATAATAATACCTGATCTGTGCATTACTGTCACCTGTTAGGTGTTTTAACACAGCAAATATAACTATATTGGGTGTTTGGTGGTCAGTGTTTTATTCAGTTATATTTACCTTGGTCTCTGTGAGACGTATCTCTAAACGGTGTTTAATCCTGATACTGTAACCTCGGATACTTCAAAGAACGGCTGCGGAGTCTAGCCCCAAGCCTCTTGGGCTACAATAATACATAAAATTATCTGCTTTTAATACGATATAATTGCTGAAATGTGTCAGTTTTGGCACCAGTAGTATACTAAGGCCTGGGAATGCTACACTACCAGAAACTCTGTAAACTGACCAGAGCTTTCTTTTCAGAGCTAATTTATGCTCTTAGGCTCGAGTGTTTGACTCCTCAACGA